TGGAGTTGATGAAGCTGCCAATGCCAAAACTATGGATTTGGAAACAGGTGCGGGTGATGATAAGCCAAGTGGTGAGACCATTGAGATGGCGCATCAGAAAATTTAAATTGGGTCCTGGTGGTGGTTGATTTCGGCAAATCGGGTGTCATTTTTGGTCATTTTGTCACTCTACGGGGTGCAATATGGAGCCTGATACTCCGTAATTAATTTCCTATTTCAACTAGGTACTTTACTTATGAGTTATGTCAAGGACGACGGAAGAATAACGAGAAACTGAAATGACACTTTAATATATATATCTCTCTCTTTTGGGGAATTCTTCGACCAACCTGAGACGAAGCGGATTCTATTCCTCTTATTAATTTACTAAGTTCTCCAGATAAAGGCTTCTTTCTATATCTCTATATAGACAAGAATAGCTGGTAGCTTATGCGGTCTTGTTAAGTCTTTTTAGATGTTTATTAAGATGTCTTCTCGATATTCCTTCCGATATACAGGGTAACTAACCTTATTTTAGATATTGAGGATACAAGAGTAGACGGCCGCGTATACGGCCTTGTGGTGCCTTTTTATAGTCTTTTGAGTAGTCTTTCATGGTGTTTTTGTATGGTGGTCTCAAGATATTCTGTTTACAACTAGAATATGAGGACCTGTGGGATTGACGCCGAAAATGACCACTTTTGAGGCCAGAAACGGCTGCCTTTCCACCCGTAACTTTGGACGTCCAGCTGCCACTTGACCGCCCACTGCCCTGTAACACCACTTTTCTGCACCCGCCCAACACTTTTAGTAATCCTCCGGTCCTGATGTTGACGCTCGACTTATACTGCCCATACTAGAGCCCAGGCTCTGCCCCTGCAGTGTTGGCTCACCGCCTCAAGCGGATACAACATCACTTCCGACCGCCCTTGTATTTACATTTCCTTGAGCTTTAGAGATAAACAGCATGCAGGCACCGTTCAATGGAATCAATTCAACTGTAGCCCTTCACAGGTTAAAACCAGTTAGACTTGACGGCCCTCTTCTTCGTGCTCCTAAAGCTGGTTCTTTAGACGGGTAAATGTCCATTCTCGACGCTGACCGATACCACGTTCAATAGTACACTCATCAGACCAATAAACACGGACCTAATCCTCAGAAGTAAAGTGTTCATATCTTCGCGCCTAAGTAAGGCTTTTTTCAGCAGATAGAGGTGTTAAAGTAGGCCGTTGCATTTTCCGCCACTTTCGAAGGCCCATTTCATGGGTTAGTCGCGGGTACGTTTAACCTTATGATCGACCTCTGCGAGTAGGTCTGCGACTAAGATTAACGGGTTTTGTTATATAGTCTCATATATATGGTCACGGTCGTCCTCGGTACGCTTTGACTCTTGAGTAAGAGTATACTGAATAGTTGAGCGTGGAGTATCTGGAAATCGTAAAACTATCGGTACAAATTATATTACAAGATTACTAAAAGCCATGTTCCTCGAACTCTTGTTCTGTCCATTGCCACAATTCCTCCGCTTTGTCCATGTCACTCTCGATGCCCGTTCTTTTCGCTTCCTTGAAGAAAGGGATGTAGTACGCTCCGTTCTTCACTTTAGCCGAATCAGCGGTACTTGCCCATAACTGATTGAGTGTGCCAGTAGGAATATCCACGGAAGCTACTGAGCTGAACAGACGAAAAATGAAAGAGAGAACTGGGTTGGCTGTCATTCCACCTCCAATATTCGTCCGGACAAGCCCCGGGTGTAGAGAAACCGACTTAATACTGGGAAACTTCTTGGCGCAAGATCTCGCGAAGTATATGTTGGCGAGTTTGGAGTGACCATAACGGGCGACGGTGCTGATCTCGGTGAGCGGTGTCTTCACCTGCTTTAGAAGTATGCCGGTTTTGGGAGCGTTTCGGTATATCTCAGAGCTAATGTTCACAATACGAACATCGGCCCCGGTATCAGCAGTCTTGGTGAGGACCGGCAGAAGTAGTCGAGTCAGCAGTGCCGAACCCATGTAATTTGTGCCAAATTGGACCTCGAAACCATCCTCGGTCAAGCCAGGGGGTGCAGCAAAGATACCGGCGTTGTTGATAAGAATATCGAGACGGTCGTTTGTGGACAGGAATGTTTCAGCTGCGCGTTTGATGGAGGCGAAAGACGCAAGATCTATGTCCAGAAACACGATCTCCGCGGAAGGAACTTCTCGCTTGATATCAAGAATTGCTTCTTCTGCTTTCTTGACGCTGCGAGCGCCCATATATATCTTTGTAGGGTTGTGCGCCGCCAATTGCTTTATGGTTTCTTTTCCGAGACCATTGTTGCCCCCAGTCACCAGAATGACCCGCCCAGAAAGGCTTGAAATATCCTTTCTGGGGTCAAAAGAGTGGCCCTTGCGGAAAAGAGAAGACATTTTCTTTGCATAGAACAATAGATACTGAATTTCCGATGTTCTACCGTGAAGTTATACTCTCTTTTTGATGAATCATCATCCCGAGCCTCGACTCGGACCCGGGGTGACTATTAACCATGCCCGATTTATATACCAGTGGCGACACCACAATTGACCGCCGGCCTTTTGAATCGTCCCGACTCTTCAATTATCTTTTCAAGTCAGCCTTAACTAGATATATTCTCCCTTCTCAGAGGCCCAAGGCATGTCGATTTCACGCATCCCGGTGATGAGGCCACTTTTGTATCTAATTTATGCTTAGTCGACATCGGAGGCCATTTACCTCAGGATCTACCCAGAGCACTTACAGTGGTGTTCCATGAGTATTTGACCTTCACTTTAAACAACCTATGTTTAAATACGAAGTTGGGCATTACCAGCTATTAAATTGGATTGAATTTCCGTTTCTGCGAGGCAATATTTGAAGTGGGCCTAAGAAATGGCCCCTAGACCGAAGTACCCAAGTTCAAAACTGTATATATCGCTTCTCGATTGGCCAATCATAAGGTGGTATATTTAACATTGACCCCACGCCTTCTTATGTTTTCTTCGGTCAATTATTTGTGAAATCTATTTTGATTTATCGCTTTTACTATATATTCTGGGGTGTCCAGCTCTCATTCAAAATGGATTAACTGACTAGTGTACTTCGCAAGGTCCAAGACCCACTTCTCTTTTGCCAGTAGAACTTCATATGCACTAATACCAGAAAAAGCCAATGAGGCCATTGCACAGTAGAAGGGATCGAGTCTTCTTGGTGGCACGTCTCGGAGGTTGCACCATTGTGGCTTCAGTTTTGGGCGGAGCATGGGCGATTCTAGACTGCGAAGCTGGTATACCATGGGTTACACAGTATAAAAGTGCATAGTCATGAGCAGTTCCGATGCAAGCATTGTCGTCAGATCGAAGGACAAATCGTCACTCTACAAGCTACGACCGGTTTACTTCTATGCCAGGCAAATGGCGCTTACGAGGATAGGATAAGGACAGACAAGATAGGCCATAACAAGGTACCCAATCCATCATGAGAATATTCTCGCTGGAAAGGGACCGACTCTTTGACGAAGCCCATGAGGCATTCTCAAGCGAGTCTGGGCTAGACACTAGGTTGAAACCCAGTGTCCGCCATCCTTTTCAACAATGGTTATGCGGAAAACATCACCTCTCGTGAAGCCTCATTGTGAAAAGGGGAAAGCAGCAGTAAAAGGGTAATAATCAATTCATGTCTCTCCCACGCCTATCCTGGTTGCCGGAGTACAAAATCAAGACCATGTTGGAGATCAAAGGGGCCCGCCGACTGGCAGTGGGGTGCCCGTCCACAAATTTTGTTTCCTCGAGTACTCGGGATAATTTTTTTGGTTCTTGTCGAGTACCTCGTACTTCACAGGCCATACCCAGCCGTTATGTCTTTTATAGACTTAACGGATAATTCCATCGTACTTGGTCTTGTACCATCTCATGGTCTCAGTGGTGGTGATGCGGTGGTTGACACCGATCTTGGACTGGCAGCGGCGGCGCTTGGCAACACGGGCACCGGGGCGGTCCCTAAAATTACTTGTTAATATCCGGTGTGAATTGCTACGAAATACAGTGTCCAGTGGGAACTCACATGCAGACGAAGAAGTCCATGCCGTAGATACCAATGCCGGGATCGTACTTGATACCGAGATCGATGTGCTCGCTGATACCGAATCCGAAGTTACCGGTCTCGGAGAAGTTGCGCTTGCGGAGCTCGTACTCCTTGACCTTGAGGCCACGCTCGAGGATCTCCTCGGCCTTGGCGCCACGGATGGTGACGTGGACGGAGATCTTTTCGTTACGGCGGATACCGAAGGTACGGACGGTGTAACGGGCCTTGCTGTAGACGGGGGTCTGACCGGACAGCTGCTCGAGAACCTTGGCGGCACGAGTGAGTCTATCACCGGACTCTCCGACGGAGATGTTCAGGACCAACTTCGACAAGCGAAGAGATCGGCAGGGGTTCTCGGCCTTAGCAACTTGGGCAGACTGCATCGTGTTAGTCTCAACTTGTGGAATGTGTATCTAGCCGACGAATAGATATTTTCAGGGAAATTGAAGATTGGGTGCGCGCAAGACGGAGATCTCCAGGTTGTGGCCCAGATTAACAGGAATGAAAGAAAACAATATAGTCGATCGGATGTGTAGTTTGGATTGTAGGAAGCTGAACATACCATGACGGCGGTTGGGCGTGAAGTGGTTGTCGACTGGGGAGACAAGAGTGATCGCGGAAAAAGAGAAAGTGTGGACTGTGGGATCATACACGTGACTTGGAAGCCCTGATCGTTGCTTAGATAAGGTGTCTAATTCGAGCGCTTAGTCATTTATGTTTTTGGCCTCAATATGCCTCAGGCAGCACCCTTGCAAACTGGCGGCTGACTCAGGTATTAGGTAATCCAATATCAAGAACTGGCAGCACCTGACAAGCTTGAGCTACACATCTTTGATAGGATCTCGCACCTTTGCTTCGTCCCCCGCAGTAGAAAGACTTTCTCTATCTACTGATCTCTATTTTTTGATCTCTCAAGTCGCATCCGTGCGCGCTCTCTAGCCAACATGGCTTCCCACAAGATGGTGAGTTTCGTCCCCATTTGCACCCCCGAAACCCGTGCGGTCAATGGCTGTCGCTAACTCCTTTCATTTAGCAAAACCTTGTGAGTTCGGCTCAAATTACTTCCAGATCTCGATTAGAGTACCTAATTTCTTTTCCAGATTAACTACCGGATGCGCGTAACATTGAACGATGGACGTCAAATGACCGGTTCCATGCTTGCATTCGATAAGGTATTTCTCGCTGATTCCGAGACTGAGCGCCCAACTGACCTTTCTACTTTCTAGCACATGAACCTAGTTCTTGCAGATACAGAAGAATTCCGTCGCATCAAGCGGAAATCCAAGCCCTCCGCCGGTCCCACAAACGCCCCGATGGTTGAAGCGGAAGAGAAGCGAAGCCTCGGCCTGACTATCGTGCGCGGTACTCAAGTCGTCTCTTGCTCTGTTGAAGGTCCTCCTCCTGCCGACCCCTCTGCCCGACTTGGTACCGCCGGACCCGGCGCAGCTGCCACTCTTGCCGCGGGCCCTGGTATCAGCAAGCCCGCTGGCCGCGGCCTGCCTATCGGACTCGGCGGCCCTGCAGCCGGCGTTGGTGGACCCCCACCCCCAGGCGGTTTTGGATTCCCCCCTGGCGGTTTCCCCGGCGCCCCTCCTCCAGGCTTTGCTGGACGTGGAGGCCCCCCGGTGGACCTCGTAAGTACTCTCATTTGCCTAGATCGACTGGGGCTCAAACTGACTGATTCGCTTCTAGCTGGTTTCGCACCTCCTCCTGGGTTTGCTCCTCAGGGTGGCCCCCGTAAGTTTGCACCCAATAATTTTCCAGCTGCGTCTCCTATACTGATATTCTCATAGCTGCCGGTTTCCAACCTCCTCCTGGTTTCCAGCCTCCCGGTCAGGGGCGTGGATACCCCCCCCCTGGATTTGGTGGCAGGTAATTAGAAATGTGCACAGGATTATTCTATGCTTTAAATTATCGGTGATCTGATTTCACCCCGAAAGGAACATGGGCGGCTCAGCAGAATAAGAACCATTGTCAACGCTTCCAGCGAAAGATAACGATACGCGGACAGGCTAGATTACCCCCAAATTCTACTGGGCAAGGCGTTGCGGCGCATGGATGGAGGTCGTGTCGAGGAACGGGACAAAAAAGACCAAAGTCCTTTTGAATTACGCATTAAGTCAAAAAAAAAAATATGCTAGCTTTTACACGCGGCCTTTTCATTCAATATCGATCAATATCCCATTTATTTATGTCCATTTCCCGTTAAATCATGTATATTGTGTCTTCTATTGTATACTGTCCTCTGCGTGTCTGCCCCATATTTACTCCGTACTGGGCCTCCTTCCACTCTACCAGTGCGATGAATATAGGTCTGTATGTAAAAACCTTGCGCTCGTATTTTATTACAGCTAGCTCTTTTCTTCCTCTGTTGTCGTTTACACATCAAATCAAATCATAGCACGGCGGTAAATTGGGGGTAGTTAGTATAGGAGTCCATTCCTCTAATATATATTCGTATAGCTCGTCTTAGATTGCGCCTAAAAACCACAAAATATGAAGAAAACAACCAAAGATTGCCATACTATACATAGCCACTAATAATTACCGGCTTATATCAACCAATTTAATATAAAAAACCGATAATTGTTTTATAAAACATCGGTTCCAACGAAGGTGATATTGTAGAAGGTACTTCACGTGACACGGCCGACGCCGGTGAGTCGAGCGCTTCCGCATCCCCCAGATATCGACCTCATCTCCCCCGAACTCAGTCCCGTCTAATAACTCCCAGCAACTTCACAATGGCTGCTGCTATCAAGGCAATCAACGCCAAGATCCGCTCCAACTCGGTGCTGGACTATGTTTGCTCAACCCGTACGTATCGACACCAGGTTCCAGAGCGCTTCCCGTCCCGAGATCGGCCAACGGCGAATGAGACCGAAGGAGAATAAGCATTGGAATCAAGGTCGAGGATGAGAGGAACACGCTTTTCATCTTGGACTTGCACATCCGCAATGCAATAAAGTGCAAATGAACCGAACAGATTGCTGACAGTCGATGGCGCTTCTTAGATTTTTGGGGCCCTGTCTCCAACTTCGGTATCCCCATTGCCGCTGTGATGGACACACAGAAGGATGCTGAGATGTACGTTCATATCCGATGAATGAAGGGAGCTTTGGCTTTCGTCTTCTGCGTTTCTGTTGGCTGCAATAGTCTCAGCAACCGTACTGATAGCTCTATCTTAACAGCATCTCTGGCCCTATGACCGGTGCCCTCATTGTCTATGCCGCCACCTTCATGCGCTACTCCCTCGCTATCACACCCAAGAACTACCTCCTCTTCGCATGCCACTTGACCAACTTCGGCGCCCAGACTACCCAGGGATTCCGTTACATGAACTACTGGAAGTACGTTTCGTCCTATGAGGCCTTATTTGGCCTTTGTATTTGTCTACAAGCTTCATATAACCGTGATTATTAACTTGATTCTACTTTGCAGGTGGGGAGGCCGGGAGAAGCAGCTCGCTGAGCAGGCTGCTAAGGGCGGCGCAGCCGCCGAGGCCGGTGCTTAAGAATCGCCCTCGAGAAGAAATTGGTTGTGCTTTTTTTTTCGGTTTTCATCGAGGCTAATAGGCATCTATCTCTTTTTGCAGAATTGCACATCCATAGACATATGGTCTGCTAGTTTTCGCCTTGGGGCTAGATGAGTCTCGGACAATCATAAAAGAGGAGGCATATAGAGGTAGACTTGCGGTTTTGAGGAAGACACCTAGCTATCGGCGCTGGCTGCGATCTAGTGTCGGTTTGCTGATAGTCACTGTACATAGGCTCTATATTATTGCGCTCGAATCATATTCGTTTTATGGGATGACCTAGTTTTTGATTGTGTCAACTTCGAGATTCGGTGATAGGCCAGGTCCAGGTGTTATTCCTGAGTTATCCCTAGGCCGATTAACTTCTAAAAAAAGCCCACACAAATATGATCGAATATATAGTCTCCCAAGCCAAAAAAAATATGTATACAGAAAGTGTAGTTAACCTCCAAAATTCGCCCACTATACCGACAATTTGACCGAGATTGTGAATGAACATACAAGTAGGCCCTCCGTCCATGTGTTGAAGCAGCATATGAAAACCCAATGATAGAGATACCAGTCTAGGGTTGAAAGGAATGCAACAAGACCTAGCTCGTCAAGATCTACAGTAACCCAAAAAAATAAGTTCTTCAATGAGAGTCGCAGTATCCCGGGCTTTGAGGAACATCAGGGCCCATCCAGCTCATGAGAGTCAGGTACGTCGTATAGACGCAGCATATGACGCCGAAGACAGCAAGAGTTACGTCGGCAATCGCTTGGCGTTTGGAGCGAGCACAAGCGCGCAGGTGCAGGAGGGGCTATAGCGATATAATGAATCAGTCATACCGTTCTGTAATGATTAGGAGGGTACATGTAAGGGACATACCGGGTATACGTAGATCAATGGAACACAAGCAAAGCTTCCGACCAGGGAAACGAACTTGTCTAGATCATTTGCACCACACCAGGCGATAAGGGCACAGACTATGACCAGGAAGAAACGGAAGCCATTCTTCTTCCACTTAATATACGGGTTGTACTTGCCACTGCGAGTGAAGAGCTCGTTCTCCATAATGCGGATAGCAGGGAAGAGCTGCAACGGAGTGCTCAGCAGGATGGCAAGCGAGTAGAGGAACTGGACCACGTTGACAAATTTATCATCCTGGGGAAGGTTAAGAAGGATGACGGTCTTGGTTGCCGATCCGTAAGCTGCGTAACTCAAGGCACCGGCAGACAGGAAGATAAAAGTGATCACAACCATGACACCGGCCAGAACACCAGGGAATCTATTTGGCTTTTTCATTGATTCTTGAATCGGGATGATGAGACCGATACCTTCGTAGGTGAAGATGGCGGTACCGATGAACATAGACCAGGTGGCTGGGTTGAAAGAAATGACATCTGAAATGCCGCCCTGGTCAACCAGGGTGCTGATATCGTAGTAGTAGATATAAAGTAGACCCAAAAGAATGAAGACATCAGCGATCAGGGCGGTAAACCCAAGTTTACTGATATCCCGAATCAAAGAGAGAGGCAGGAAGATGACCAGCTGCAACAAAACCATGTACTTGACGTCAATGAATGTCGCACACTTGCTCACAGCTAGCACGAACGCCTGCAAATTTTGCGAGACGAAGACAATGTACGCCGCCACGAAGCCTATCTGACTCAGGACAATTGATCCGAGAATGATGCGTCGCATGTGCTTGCCGTATAGAATGCCACCAATGTCACCGAAGGAGCCTTCGATCTTCATGCGAGTATTGACCAAAAGAATGAAAGCATAATAGCTCAGGATGGAGACTCCCAGAAGTACCATGCTACTGAAGAGCATACCACCATTTAGGAAGGCTCGAGGCAGAAACAGAATACCAGTACCCACAAAGGATTTGAGCAGTAATAGTACTGCACCTGTTGTAGTTGTTGTCCCTGCCGGTGAGCGCTGCTTGTGCTTTCTCTTTTTCCGACCCGGTGTTTCAGGCTGCAACAGCGCTGCGTCTTCTCCAGACTCTCTGCCCTCCTCTGGCTCGTCCCAGGCATCGGACGAGAAGTATTCATCCGGCCCTAGCACCTCGTCATCTTCCTCTAATTCTTCTCCGGCAAAGTGTCCATAGAGAGTCAAGAATTCCAAGAAGCTAGTAGTCGGCAGTTGAGGTGCGCCATGTCCATGGGGCGTGCCTGTATTTGACCCATGGGCACTTCCGCGGTGTGGACTTCCAGCCGCTCTTCGTAGATAATCTCTGCGGAACCCTCCCGGAACCCGAATCGTGTCAATGTCTTCCGTATCAGCCTCTGGCCTTGGTCGGCTGACGCTGAAACTCTTGCTGCGTAAGAACCGCCCTGCGGCTTCGGCCTCGGCATCCTCCGCCCAGCGGTAAACTTGTCGTGTGATATCGCCGCCCTGAAGCTGTAGACTCGAGAAGTTATCCTCACCACCAAGGCTGGTCGCAATTTCCGATTGGTTATCTGTGTGTTCCGTGACTAGATGCCGCTTGATAACTTCAGGGTCTTCGTACGGAGCCATGCCCGGGGAGTCGGATCCATTTTTGGTATCGAAAGAGCCATACTGAGAGGCCAACGGTCGGTTGTCTAGAGTCGAATGCACCGCAGGGGATCCGTTGTGTCGTGACGGAGTTCCAAACCTCGGTGGCGAGCGACCAAGGCTTTCCTGTAGTTGGGATGCAAGGATAGAATGACCAGGACCAGGGACTGAAGAAGTGTTTGCAATCGACCTGGAAAACTCCTGCTCGGTGGTGGTATTTGTGACAGGTCGGCTGGCAGGAATACCCTGTCGAGACGACAAGGATGTTCCGAATGAAGGGGAGGGCACTGGGGATGCGAGGCGTGCCATGGAAGCCTGTCTGTTACCGAACTCAGGTGCGGGGGACCTCGATCGCACCGAGGACGAGGCTATCGGCATAGACCGAACTGGATTTAGGGATGAGCCTTCTCCATTATCCGCCATTTTGAAGGTGGCCTCAAGGTGTCAAGTTAGCTCCTGACAGGATGCCGTGTTTAGACTCGAGGAATGGGCATGGAAAGAAGGCCGGACGCTTGAAATAATAGTGCAAGCCAGCTCCTCGGAGAGAATATTGGAATATTCGGGTGAAAAGCCCAAGATGTAACTGAGGAGGGTTTAAGACACTAAATAGCGCCAAGCGGCAATGGCCGATCAGCTCCATGTGCGGTTGACGGGGGTGCAAACTGTTTGCATCCCCCCATCAACGTCATCTATTGATACACAGCTTGTTTTTCTTTTTCTGTTCATTAGCGCCGTGTCTTTGCAGACTCAATGGTCTTGCTGGGACTATCGGCTTCTGCTATCTAAATTGTTTTGTCACCTGTGCCCTCATGTTCATACCATAAATTTTGGAACTGACATGGCGACCGAACGAGTCGGAGAATCTTCCGACTCCTTGTCTCGGCGACGCCCAACTTTCGCGACTCGAACTGCTCAAGAGGATGTCTCACGTCTCAACCAGGAGGACTCGGCCCCTGCTATCTCCGATGAACGTACTCGCTTGCTACCTTGGCCATCGACTCGATCGGCCCGTCAGTACGAGCCCGTGAATTCGCCAGAAAGCGAGGACCACCGCCATTCCTCACCCATACCTTACTTCCGGGGCCTTTCTCGGTGGTGGCATAACCGAGTGGACCACGACCAAGAACAAGAGACCAGTGGAGACACCACTTCACAAAATGTGTACCTGTCTGCGGGTCCTCTCCGCGACTCCCGCGCCGATAAGGACAAGAGTGGACATCGATCCCGATCGGTGGATGAGCCGAAGAAGCTTGGTACATTCTCCGGTGTTTTTGTTCCAACGACATTGAATGTCCTGAGCATTCTTATGTTCCTTCGTTTCGGATTCATCTTGGGACAAGCTGGTGTATTGGGCATATTAGGTGAGCATACCTCCCCACAAACTCAGGATCCCATGTCTGATACATGAAAGGGCTGCTACTTGTATCATACACAATCAACCTCGTGACAACGATGTCTCTGTCCGCAATTGCAACAAACGGGACGGTCCGAGGCGGCGGTGCCTACTACCTTATTTCCAGATCTCTGGGCCCCGAATTTGGTGGCTCCATCGGCATTGTATTTTATCTTGGCTATGTGTTCAACACTGGCATGAACGCTGTTGGTTTAGTGGACTGTTTTACTCAGAATTTTGGGACGCAGTCTGGGGACTGGGCCAACTTCCTCGAGGAAGGCTTTTGGTGGCAGTACTTGTGGGGAACTATTATACTGGTATTTTGCACAGGAATTTGCTTGGCAGGAAGTTCCATATTCGCAAGGGCAAGTAACGGGCTTTTGGTCATACTACTTGTGGCAACATTCAGCATACCGCTCTCTGCAATTTTTATGAAGCCTTTCCCAATCCCTCGACAGGGTGTGGAGTTCACGGGCCTTCGTCTGAAAACGTTGATGGGTAATCTCCAACCCCATCTAACTAAGGGAGCTGCAGGAAGCCAAATAAAAGGACGAGAGAACTTCCAAGACCTCTTTGGTATTCTATTTCCTGCCACAGGCGGTATTTTTGCGTAAGTTGGCGACAACAGACTTTGAACCTCATTTCACTAATTGGCTATCAGAGGAGCAAGTATGTCCGGTGACTTGAAGAACCCGAGCAAGGCTATTCCTAAGGGTACACTCTCAGGGTTAGCTTTAACCTTCGTCGCTTACGGGCTTGTCATCCTTGCGATGGCGGCTTCGGTGACTCGGGAGTCTTTCTATAACAACGTGAATGTTATACAAGTCGTAAGTCCTTGTTTGAGGGGAAAACTAGAAGCACGCCCTAATTGAGTATAGGTCAATGCCTCTGATAGTGTGATCCTTCTCGGAGAATTTGCAACTAGTTTCTTTTCCGCCCTGATGGGTGTGATTGGATCAGCTAAACTTCTTCAAGCTATTGCGCGAGATAGTCTCTTGCCAGGCATAGGAATCTTTGCCCAAGGCGCTCAGAAAACTGACGATCCCGTATATGCCATCATTGTGACCTTCGTGTTCGCTCAGGTCACAATGCTTTTCGACATCAATCGTATCGCATCTTTTGTTACCATGACCTACTTGATGACTTTTCTTGTGACCAATCTCGCGTGTTTCCTCTTGAAAATTGGGTCTGCACCCAACTTTCGTCCGTCGTTCCACTACTTCAACTGGCAGACTGCAGCGGCTGGAACGCTTGTCAGTGGGATCAGCATGTTTTTTGTGGACGGTCTTTACGCCACGGGATGTGTAGGCATCCTGGTGATTCTTTTCCTGCTGATCCATTATACCTCGCCACCCAAACCTTGGGGGGATGTCAGTCAAAGTTTGATCTATCACCAAGTGCGAAAATACTTGCTTCGCCTTCGTCAGGAGCATGTCAAGTTCTGGCGTCCTCAGATCCTGCTCTTTGTTAGCGATCTCGATAGGCAATACAAAATGGTCTCCTTCTGCAACTCGTTGAAGAAAGGGTCGCTATTTGTCCTAGCTCATGTTCTTGTGACCGATGATTTTTCAGCAGCTGTCCCCGAAGCACGTCGCCAACAGACAACATGGACAAAATTTGTGGAATATTCCAAGATAAAAGCCTTCGTCAACATTGCTATCTCGCCCGCTGCCGAATGGGGTATGCGAAATATTGTCTTGAATTCCGGACTGGGCGGCATGAGGCCCAACATCGTTGTGATTGACCAATTTCGGTCGGACCAGTCGCTTGTTGAAACCTTATCTTTGAATAGTGGCCGAAGAGACTCGAGGACTAGACGCCATTCGACCCACTCGAGCACGCGAGCCGAGCAGGTCAGCGAGTCTAGACCGGCAAACCCGCCCATGAGCGGGCAGAGTTATGTCACAATCCTCGAAGATCTCTTGTTCAAGCTTCGGATCAATGTTGCTGTAGCTAAGGGATTCGAGGACCTGGAGCTACCAGACTCCAGCGGTCGCCACAGTAAGAAGTATATTGATCTGTGGCCGATCCAAATGTCCGCTGAACTTGGGGCTGATAGCGAAAGCAAGCAACATGTGCTGACCACTAATTTTGACACGTACACTTTGATCCTTCAACTGGGCTGTATTCTCAACACTGTTCCCTCGTGGAAGAAGACATACAAAATCCGAGTTGCGGTATTCGTCGAGTACGAGACCGATGTGGAAGATGAGAGAGGACGGGTTGAAGCTCTCCTTGACAAATTACGGATTGAAGCCGAAGTCTTGGTCTTCTGCCTTGCCTGCGGTAATCTTCAGGCCTATCAAACCATTGTGAATGGCGATACTTCGGTCCCAGTTGATGCCCTAGAGAGGGTTAATTCCGCTCTACAGGGAGAAGAATGGTGGCAAGGGGTCTTACAAGCTCGTGCGGTCGATCAAGACCCGCAGGATTCGGATATAACCAGTGACAGTCTCCATCTTGATAAGTCATATACCTGGCAAGGGCCGTCGAGCCAAGACAATGGAGCCAAACCCTTGCACAATCGAGTGGCTGGCTTGAGGAAACTGATTGAGTCCACTCGTCGCAGACGATCTGTCTCCAGCTTCCGAGCTCTAGGAGGAGTGAACCTCGGCATGCAAACGCATCGCTTACTAGATGCGTTCGTCGACTACGACAGCCCCGATAGCTTGAGTGACAGCGAAGACAGTGACTTGGAGGCATATTCCAGCGATCCAGAACCAGAGGACGGCGGAGAGGACATCCTCATCGCTCGAAATGAGGCTGTACCCGTTTCCGGCTCTTCGAGACTCCTTGGCCGGTCCAAAACTGATGATTGCAGCCCTAGCGAAGACTCTCCGAGTACACCAATGCATGCGAGCCCTCAAATAGAGGACACACCATCCAACCAGCTAATCCCAACCATAATCGAGACTGGCGATGATGGCTCCCCGAAAAGCAAACCTCCAGGTCGACCACCGCCCATCAGTCGCTCTGCTTCCAGCAATCGGTTCAGCTCCTCGCCCATTCCCGAAGCTAAAGTGAACACCGAGGCTGAGGAGGGCAACGGACCGTCTATCATGTTTGCGGCGCAAAACTCACCTCCACGATTTGCAAACAAGCTAGATTCTATCTACGCCCGTCGCCCATCTGCAGTGTCTCCCACCTCCCCCGATGCCCACAGCAATCCGAATGCACATGCACATGCAACCGGATACCCTGGTGTAGCATCGGTTCCATTGTCTTTCAATGATCTCCCGAGTCGAGCACAGCACTTGATTCTGAATGAGTTGATGGTCCAGCAGAGTGGTGATACCGCCGTTATCTTCACGACTCTGCCGTCTCCCGTGGAGGGGACTTCGCTTAGTGCGGATGATAGTGCGTCTTACTTGAGCGACCTGGAAGTCCTGTGGAACGACTTGCCCCCGTGTCTGCTGGTGCACAGTAATAGCATGACGGTGACAATGAATTTGTGATGAATTGATGACAGCGAATTATACAGAACTGTACATAGCACACGCTAGATTTGACCTTTTTTTTGGGGGACTTAGAGAGTTTGAAGATATACTTGACCGCAACGTGCACATAATTATTTTTTTGCTAGAGACATAGCGCAAATCCCAGATACCAGAGGCATAGAGACGATCCCGGCGCTACTGCACGCCACAAAATCTCTGCACTTGGTAGGATACATATTAAATAGGCATAAATATGAGTTATAAAAGGGAAATACTAGTAATAAGCGAAATACTAGTCATATTTAAGACGAGACAATACAGAATATAGTCATTGAAATTAATATGACCAATTGGTATTGTTGTGGTTGTGATTGGATCAATTCATCCCTCGTTCCCTGGTATACCCAGTAGCCTCGAGCACTTCCCCCATCTTTTACTCCAAACTTACAACTCGGGTCTTGGGCTATTTGGGCTGGGCTGTTTGGCTGTGCTATTTGGCTATTCTTCTTCTTTACTTCTCCCAGCTTATCACTACTCGTTCAATTCTTAATTTCGCCCCTTGCGCTTTCCCCCTTCCCCCCTTTCGATCCCTCTCATGACCGAGAATCCAACATTGAACGGTATGGGTGCCACAAATCTGGTTTCACGTCGTACAGTCGACTTCCACCCTGAAACGGTCAAGGTTCCCCCTATCCACCCAAAGGGTGTGAATGGAAACTGTGTTTTGGACGACTCCGACAGCGCCTCCGTCTCCTCCGCAGAAACACACGAAGTTGGGGAACTAAAGACTGAGGAACGAAAACGGCCGATAATGGCTCGCAAGGCCTCTTCACCTATGGCGCCCACGTTTATGGTCTCCGCGCCGGGCAAGGTCATCGTCTTTGGCGAACATGCTGTGGTCCACGGCAAGGCTGCCATGGCCGCAGCTATCTCTCTTCGCTCCTACCTTCTTGTCACCACTCTCTCCAAATCACAACGCACGATAACTTTGAATTTCCGGGATCTGGGTCTTAGCCATACTTGGAATATTGACACCCTACCATGGGACAAATTCCGCGAGCCGTCAAAAAAGAAGTTTTACTACAGCCTTGTCACCGAACTCGATCCAGAACTTGTTGACGCGATCGAACCGCACCTCCAGGGTGTATCCAAGGGTCTCCCAGAGGAGCAGCGCAACATCCATATTCGCTCCGCATCCTCGTTCCTCTACCTCTTCCTCTCCCTAGGCTCTCCGGAAAGCCCAGGCGCCATCTACACTCTTCGATCCACAATTCCTACCGGAGCGGGCCTAGGTAGTAGTGCTAGTGTCTGTGTCTGTCTTAGTTCTGCGTTACTTCTCCAAATCCGTACACTCGCCGGACCTCACCCAGACCAACCACCGGAGGAGGCAGAGACACAGATCGAGCGTATCAACCGCTGGGCATTTGTCGGAGAGCTCTGCATTCATGGCAACCCTAGCGGCGTGGATAATACGGTGGCCGCAGGCGGCAAGGCTGTGATCTTCCGGCGCGACGATTACTCGAAACCTCCAACAGTCATCTCGCTACCTACTTTCCCCGAACTTCCTCTCCTACTTGTTAACACCCGACAAGCCCGTTCTACAAAGACAGAAGTCGATAAAGTCGGGGCCCTAAGAGAGGCACATCCTATTGTGACCGAGTCAATTCTTAACGGCATCGACCAAGTGACATGCTCCGCACAACGTCTAATCGAGGACCCTAGTTTCGAGGGAATCTCTGATATCACCCTTGCCCACTTTGGCACCCTGATCCGTATAAACCATGGATTCCTTGTCTCCCTTGGCGTTTCTCACCCCCGTCTCGAACGTATCCGTGAACTTGTCGATTACGCCGACATCGGTTGGACAAAACTGACCGGGGCGGGTGGCGGTGGATGTGCGATTACCCTCCTTCGACCTAACGCAAAGGCGGAAGTCAAGCAGGACCTCGAACAAAAGTTCGACGAAGAGGGTTTCACTACGTACGAAGTTACCCTGGGCGGTGACGGTATTGGTGTTCTCTATCCGGCCGTCCTACGCAATGGCTCGGACGAAGAGGGCGGTGAGGAAATCGATCAACAGAAGTTCGAAAATGCCGAGGGCCCTGAAGGTATTGAGCGTCTTGTTGGTGTTGGTGTTGGAGCGGAGGACCGGAGAGGGGGCTGGAAGTTCTGGAAGCGAGCTACGACTTAAGCTTGGCCTAGTATTCCTACCCTCACCATTTTCCCTTGTCTAATTCAGAGCCTTTTCTTTGTTATTCAGGTTACTCTCGTTCTGTGATTTTGAGTCTTGCCCCTCTTGGCTTCTCTTCTACCCATTCTTCTCCCATTCTCTGTACACATTATCCTTATCCATACGCATTATTATACACCCACTTCTTCTTCATTCTCGGTGTCAAATCTGATCGTTTCCTTTGTCGTGGACTTAACCTTCATCTCCGTCCCTGTTCTGATTCTGTTTGCCTTTTCCTCCCTTCTCCAGTTTTTCAACTTTTGTTCCGGGCTTTTTCCTTGCATGAAATAAATTGACGACATGACTGTGGAAGAACGGGTTTCTTAAATCAAATACATCAATCACATAATACTATTACCTATTTCTCTACTCGGTACCAAAGTAAGTCATATTGATCGTTAGGTCTTATAGTCCCCAAATCGATGTTAATATAGGGGTCTATCTTGATGATGGTGACGATGAACCTTTTGCTCTGCAGCAACCGACCTGCGTTCGAAGCAACGACGCCTTTCTCTGCCCCAGAGATGAAGCCTAGCCATATTAGTCTCGTATACCTTAGAACGCTACAGGTGAACTACGGAGCCCTGCTTTTCTCCATGGCTAACGGCGGAGCCATTTTTGATTACTGTTAAACTCACCGCCAGATACCACAATATTCTTCATCTTCGCACTCTGAAGCCCAAAGCCGTGAGAGTATTGATGTTCAAGAGCAAGGTACCTACTTATGTAGGTGGCGAGAGAAGAAAGCTAATCCCGATTTGGAAACATGACATGTGGGGTGGCAGATCAGACACCGCCTTTATATGTAGACAGCGTCTTAAGCATCTTTGCCCATGCTTCTTTTTGTCATCAGGAGTGAGAGGATTAAAAAGCGAGCGAAGTCAAGTTGATACATGTGGAAGGCTGGCCTTTTGCTTGATTTTCAAGGCGCAAATCCGATGGACACTTGTACGGTACACTTACCTTCTCAACACAATATTTTACATCGTGGAACATTGTAGACCACGAACCGTCAGTTGAATCTCGATATCAGTATTCCTTTTGCTTATGAAAACCACAGATGATCAAGGGGCTGATTTTGATGTGGTTAGTTACCCGCCCTGAATGAAAACACGACCTCGGGAGTGTCCGACGTCATGACTCTCTCCACTGTCAATTCGAAATCCACACTAATACACAACGCATGTTGTAGGAATAAAGCGAGAACCAACTAAGCAAGATGGTTAAGAGCATGATCCACCGAAGATGTCTAAAGGATGCTGGTCGTGATTGGAATCTCTCCGTATATGGCGGCATGTCGGTAGATCCAAGCTTTGATGATCTGTCTGAGGCACGATATTAATTTGCATGCGGTCTCCATTTCAAGGTCCATGATGACTCTGTGGGGAACACCTGTCAGGCCAGGTCCAGCACGAACGAATCATACGCCATAGCCATGCAAATTATTTTGTCCAAGACAGGGGCGGTGCTTCTTTGAAAGTTTTCTAAAAGCTCAAATTTTCCCAGCATGGCTTTTTGCCGACTCTCCTCGTTCATCTGAAACTTCTTACTATACACATCCTTGTCTATAGATTCTGACTCGCCATGAAGTCTGAATCTGTGACACGCGCGGGCTTCGCGACCTCTATTACTTTGGCTACATGTCTAGCAGGCGCATTGGCTCAAGGGAATAGTTCAGTTGCTCCGGTCAACCTGACAGTTGCAACGGAGGGTGGTAATAAGTCGAGTCCGCTTCTATATGGAGTTATGTTCGAGGTGAGTGGCTAAGTTAGTCCCATGCCCATGCGTAAGTAGCTGCGTCGCTAACTTTTGATATTGTTAGGAAATGGACCATTCGGGTAGGAATCTCTATTTTCTGATCTGATCACGAGCATTACTAACCATCTCAAGGTGATGGTGGAATTCACGGACAATTGCTGCAGAACAATGGATTTCAAGGAACTAGTCTTGGTTTGACTGCCTACGCTCCGGTGGGAGATACGATAATCTCCCAGGATACCTCAAAGCCTGTTAGTAAAGCAATTACGTCTTCGCTCAACGTCGCAGTACCGGATGGCACAACAGACTATGTAGGCTTCGCCAATACCGGTTACAACGGAATTCCAATAACGGGCGCCACATACAACAGTTCATTCTGGATGATGGGCAACTACTCGGGAACCATCAACCTACAACTTGTTGGATCGCACAGTGGTTCGATATATGCCGATCACAATTTGACCGTCAAGAGTACGGATTCAAAATTCACCGAGTTCAAAACCAGGTTCAATACTACTTATGCACCAGAAGGAGATAACGAGTGGCATTTGACATTCGATGGTTCGAAAGTTGCCGGTAGCTCGTTGAACTTTGGCTTAATCCAGTTGTTTCCTCCCACTTTCAAAGGAAGAGAAAACGGGTTGCGAGATAGCCTGGCAGTGTTTCTGGACGAGGTCAATCCAGCGTTTCTTCGGTTCCCGGGCGGGAACAACCTCGAAGGTTTGGAGGTTGACAATCGCTGGAAGTGGAACACCACGATTGGACCCGTGGTCGACCGTCCAGGAAGAGAAAGTGACTGGTTTTATCCTAATACAGATGCTCTCGGCTTGGACGAGTATCTATGGTGGTGTGAAGACATGAACATGGCGCCACTCCTGGCCGTGTGGTCAGGCAAGTCTTATGGAGACATTCTGTCTGGGCCGGACCTCGAACCTTTCGTTGACGATATCATGAATGAGATGGAATATCTCTTTGGCAACTCTTCGACACATTATGGCAAAATGCGAGCCCAGAATGGTCGGAAAGATCCATGGAAGGTGGACCTTATTGAAATTGGCAACGAAGACGATCTCACCGGTGGTTGCGACACATATCCGGATCGTTTCAATCAAATCTATACGGCCATCCATGACAAGTATCCGAACATCACATTTATTGCTTCTCATGGGAACTATTCGTGTCTGCCCTCTTCGCTTCCTAAAGATGTCATCATTGACCTGCATCTGTACCGAGCACCGGACGACTTTGTCAAATTGTTCGACCAGTTTGATAACCAGCCACGGAACCAACCAGTGATGATTGGTGAGTTCGGATGTCGCAATACGACAGAAGAGACAGGAACATACTGGCCGTACATGCAGGGCAGCTGCAGTGAGGCCGTGTACATGATCGGAATGGAGCGCAATAGTGATATTGTCAAGATGGTTGCTTATGCGCCTTTGATGCAGCACTTTGATTTCGTCTCTTGGTCGGTAAGAATATCTATCGAAGAGGTTAGAAAAACATTGGGAATATAGCTGACCACGCTATTTTTATACGTATATAGCCTACACTATACGGGTTTAATTCGGCCCCCGACTCTGTCACACCTTCGGTCTCATATTTTGTTCAAAAGATGTTCGCATCCAACAAGGGTGATACCATTCTTCCAGTTCACTCATCAACAGGATTTGGACCTCTTTACTGGGTGGCTTCGAAGACAGGTTCACAATACTACTTGAAACTGGCAAACTATGGCCCCGAACACCAGAACGTCAAAGTGAGTATACCAGGAACCAGATCTGGTAAACTGGAGATGCTTGCTGGACCAAAGCACCAGGGCGACACGCCCTTCAACGTGAAGATTCAAACCGTCACCACCAGCGTCTTCAATGGGCAAGGGAATTATTCAATAAGCATGGATCCATGGGCTGTCGCTGTTCTAGCAGTCTCATGAAGGGGATGATTGTATATATCCCAATACTTGCTGTTTCATGCGTCATGTGCATTGTTTATCGGTCTAAGAATATCAAGCATTCCCAATATGTGTTCCATAAACTTCAAGAACAAATTTCTGCATCTCACTGATAAAATAGACCCCATAATATTTCCCGCGGTATAAATACAAATTCAGTTCAAAATCTCCACCGGAACCTCAACAACCTTGTCACGCACATAATCCGCAAAGCCCTTGCCGAACCCATCCAATCGACTCGAGCTGCTGACACCCCGACCAAGAATCCCATAGATCACAAAGTGCACAGCATGAATGTGAGGGAAGTCCACTCTCTCAACCAAGAACGACTCATCCCAGTCATCATCATTAACGAGCATCTCTCGCATTCTCTCCACGCTCATATAAGACCGCAACCAAGGCCAGTGAGTCGGGTCAGGGACAAAGATCCCAAAGTTGAGGTTAGATCCTTTGTCACCAGATCGGGCAAGAGCAATGTCTCCCAGTCGAATCGATCGAGTTCGAGATCGGAGGAGGGCGACTTCCTCGCTAGACGGACGATGGTTATAGCTTGCGCGTGGCTGTAGAGCTTTATACACCGGAGGATGACCTGTTGGGAACGAGGTGATCGAATTGGGTGTATCGATGAAATTGATCTTCTCGTCAAGATCGTCCTGCTTGACTACAGCCGGGTAGTAGGCTAGGAATGGGCGGGGGACTGCTGTGCGCATGTCGAGAGAGGAATGGAATCCTAGATGATCCGAGTTAGCTCGAAGTATGAACATTCATATTCGTTCGTACCAGAGAAATGCTTCAAAGAGATATCTTTCATTGCTCTTCCGACGGCGAGAACGGCGTCAGCCTCGACTGCAGCAATAAAGATCCGCAGGTATGTGGTGCTTTGTCGCTGCGAACCTGGGTTTAGGGCAGGGACACCAATTCTAGAGATCCCCACGTCAACACTGGCTGGTTCAAGCTGGAAGATGAGATAAAGTCACCTTTGGAATTCAAGCGTGTCGATCTGATCAAGGGATTCCTTTGTAACAAAATGACGGAGTTGTCTTTCGATCAGATCCCACTTTTCCTTAGATGCATATCCAGTAGCATTCAGTAAAATCTGGACCTCGAAACCACCGGGATAGAACACGGCCAGCTTGGTTGTTGGAGGGGGGGCATATCCTCGGATGCCATGAACGCGAACCCTAGATGTTTCAGTAAGTAGTCAACGCAATGAATAAAGAAGACACTTACCTATCCTTTCCAACTTCTTCAACAATAACGTCATCCAAAATAGCACTAACGTCACTATTCAAGTAAACATTTCCCTGAAGCTCATATAAAAGTTGACACCGAACAGTATCAACATCAACCATACCACCTGTGCCAGGATGTTTCACAACAACACACGATCCATCGGCACCAATCTCCGCAATGGGAAACCCCGGCTCAATAAAAGTATCAACCGGGTGCCGGTCAAACCCAGCGAAGTTGCCGCCCGTAACATAGGCCGAGCACTCAATAAGGTGACCTGCCACCAGGGACCCAGCCAGACGGTCATAGTCCGACTCCGACCAGGAGTGCCAGTACCATGCCGCTGCAATGACGGGACTAGCGTCTGCAACCCGGCCGCAGATAATGATATCTGCCCCACGACGGAGTCCGTCCACGATACCCCGGGCACCGAGGTATGCATGTGCCGAGACCATGGGGACAGGCTTAGTGGTGTTGGTGAATGCATACGTGAGAGGGCCAGGCTTGACGGAATTGTTTTCGGCATCAAGGTGCTGGAGTTGTTCTGCGGATTGCGGCATGTTAGGGCCAAATTTAGTATACAGGTCATCTCCTGATAGATAGGCTACTCGCAAAGCGAGGCCGTTTTGTTGGATCTGTTATTTCGATTTGGTATATATATTCACGTAATTGGGTGAAGTCTGTACTGACCAGCTCGTGCACTTTGAGTGCTAGCCCTTTAGGATTGAGAGCTCCTCCATTTAGTACGACTTTGATGCCCTTTTCAGCGATCACGTCGATGGTCTGCTGGATACCCTCCCAGGCTGTTTGTTCGTATCCGGGATGTTCACCACGTTGGAAGGCTTGGGCATTATTTGCCATGTTGACCTCTTAGCTCAGTTAGTCCTTAGTGCCTCGCTAGTTCATATCGCCAAGCAACATACCCGCCAGGTAATCTCCGGTGATAAAGTCGACATCTCCTAGAGTTGCTTGGCGATACAATTCGTACGCAGGATCGCCTTTGTTCATTAGTACTGTTGGTTTAATCTAGTTGATATCCATACCATGATAGCCGGAACAATTGGCGATTCTGACGGGTCGGCTATTTTCACTTGGACTGGTAGACATTGTAGTTGTACGGAGTTCTTTTCATAAACCATTGAGATTTACGTTACTTTTAAATCCATGCAAAGAGTGTTGAATTCTACATATTATATTACAAGGATTATCCCAAATTGAACTTGGGTTGGAGAGAGAATGAGAGGGAAAAAGTACTAAAACCCACGGGAAATCCTTCAGGTCACCCCCGTGGGCCGTGGAAGTTCAATAATTAGTCCCCCCCACTGATTGAGCCAATTAAATGAAAGCGATGAGCTTTGATCCAAGCTAATCTAAGCCTTGTGTATTGAGGCTGATTTGGAGTACTCCGTATTGTTTCCGTGGCTTTTTTTTTTTTTGCTTTGTTCCGTGGCGTTTTCCAATGCGAGGGGGGGGATTCACATCACTTTATACCAAAATGGGAAAAATTGCGATTTATTGGACCAGTAGTATGGATTATTGGACGTTGGTAAGATTGGAATAGGGTCCAGAAAAATAGGTGTGTTGGCACCCGGATTCGAGGCTTTGAACTCCCTGCAATACAAATATAAAGGGTGGGGGACGCATCGGCATCGGCATTGGCATCGGTGTATTTCGAGATAAACATTCGCATAACAATCGCAATTGTCTCTTCTATCTCATTCGCTCTTATATACCTTTGTCTTTGGAGCAAAATGCACGAGACTATCCCCGCAAACGAGATCTACGGACCCGGAACCTACACCGACAAGTCCGTTCTCCCTGTACCGAAAGATGCCCGTCGAATTTTCGAACTGCTAGCGTCACGAACGCCCGGTTTCACAAAAGACAGTGCACTGTGGGATACTGTCAACTTCGAGGGCCGGCCGGACCCTATGGTCCCCGGTCCGATGAAGTCCCCCGTCGTGGCAGCAGCTCTGCATGCCATGTGTGGACTAGTTGGAAACGAACTCCTCGAGCTACGGGATGGCAGGCCAGCCAAAGAAGCTAGCGTGACTGTAAACACAGACCATGCTGGCATCTGGCTTGCATCCACATTTACGGCATTCGTGAATGGCAAAGACATCTCGACTCTTGCACGGTCCCGCGAACTTGCCAACATCTTCGACAGGGACTTTGAGAAGGGGTTTGGAGTTGGTCCGTTGGCTGGCCGAGCCACTGCACTGTATCCCACCAAGGACTCCGGGGTGTGGTATCAACTCCATGGGTCGTTAGATGCAAGCAAGACGCTCTGCTCGATGGGGATCGACATGGATGTACCGTTGAAATCGTTCCAGGAGGGATATGAGTATATTCGGGAACATGTGCGGAAATGGAGTGCTGATGAACTTGAGATGCACAATGTGAGACATGGATTATGTGGGAGCATCTGCTACTCACCCGAAGGCTGGAGGAAGACTGAGATGGGGAAGCGGCTTGCGGAACATCCTCTCGTGAATTATACACATGAATCGTATGCGAAATCGACACACTCGGTTCCCTTGAAACAACTTCCTGATCGTCGGCCTCTGGCTGGGATCAAGGTTGTGGAGATGGTGCGAATTATCGCTGGTCCCACCGTTGGGGTGATTCTTGCTTCGTTTGGTGCGGATGTCATCCGTGTCAACTGTAGTAGACTGGCAGATTTGAATGTGAGTAGAATGGCCTTTCTTTTTTGTATTGAGACCAAATACCGACCATGCTTAACAGGTCCTCCAATTGACGCTCAACGCCGGAAAACGCACGATCGATCTCGATATTGGCAAGGAGGAGGAAATGGCTCGACTCAAGGAGCTTGTGGCCGATGCAGACGTGTTTATCCAAGGCTTCCGGTATGGGTCACTTGACCGGAAGGGACTCGGTCTGCAAAAAATGCTGGATGTGGCAGCCAGAAGAAACAAGGGCATTGTCTATGTCGATGAAAACTGCTACGGTCCATCTGGACCATTCGCTGAGAGACCTGGCTGGCAGCAGATTGGGGATGCTGCATCGGGTGCTTCATACGTGATGGGTCGGTCGCTTGGATTCGATGAAGGAACGAGTGTTCTTCCACCGCTGCCGATATCTGACATGACTACTGGCGTTGTCGGTGCCCTGGCGACAATGTTGGCTATTCGGGATAGGGCTCAAAAAGGAGGCTCATATCATGTTGTAAGCTCGCTTGTGGCGGGGGACGCAATTCTGGTGGACCCCGAAGTTGGTCTGTATCCCGTTGAAGTGGTACAAAAAACCAACGATATGTTTAAGTTTGCACGCTCGTCTCCGGACCAGTTCGTCTCGGAGATTATGATCCAGGTAATCGATGGGTGGAAACGGGTTTTCCCAGAGTATCTTGCACAAGACTCGCCATTTATGATGAGCTTTGAAGACAGCCCATGGGGAAGAATGGATATGTTGAGGCCCGTGGCTAGACTAGATGACAAGGAAGCAAGTCCAATTTGGAAGAATGCCCCTGTTCCGAATTGCCATCATGATCATAGCATCACCTGGCATGATCATGTTGCAGGAGGGCTTTCTGAGTTGGCAAATTAGTATATACGATAGGTCTTCATGACAATAATGTTCAAATTCACAACTCTCCAGTGCTTTCAGCTAAGTCATATGCGCCAAAATCATACGCCGGAGGGACACCTGCTAGCATATCTTGCCAGTTCCAAGAAAGAGGAGCGGGCAACGGTAGTGGCCCTGTAGCATATAAACTTTGATCTGTAGACATTGTGTTTGAAGACTGAAAGTAGCTGCCACCATTCTCAGTCGACTGGGGATGATTGACAAAAGCCGGGAAAGAGTTCGGGGGCAAGTAGTTATTCTGTGTCCACGTTTGCCCTTGCGGACGAAAGGAAATTGGCTGATTATCACCCATGGAGTTTGGCTCGGGATTTCGGGCACGATGTAACTCTTTCCTGGCTGCACTTTCGAAATCAGAGCACAATGCCAATACATAGTCTAGGTATGTATCTTGTTCCTGGGATGCGACCTTGGATATAAAACTGACAACCCCATGCATCATAGAAATATCCGATTCTGTATCAGGGTGCGAAGGGTCAATGAGAATGTGGGAGAACAATGCAACCAAAGCTGCCCCGGGGAAGTAAACGATACTCCTGTTTGATATATAAGGACTAGCAAAAGTTGAACACATCAGGTGAGCTTACCATTCGAAGGATTGGCCGTAATGGCCTCGGACTTGACCGATCAGTTCAATAGCCGCTCGTGCGGCTTCTATTGATTGTTGCACTGATCTCTCTCGGTCATTCGATAGACCCGCGGGACTGAGCCCCCCATTCTGTGGGCTGATCTGCCAGCGCCGAGGAAGTAGACAGAATCGATGGATATTGAGACAGCAGCAATGGTATGCAAAGTGAAGTCTGAGGATGTGCGGAAGGAAGGCATGGTGGCCGGTGGAAAAGTTCCTTCGGGGCCGGAGGATCGGTGGGATACTTTCTTTCCATGCTTCAAGATCGTCAGAGCAACCCTTCATATCTTTCATCAACTGTTCTTTGGTTTTTTTGAATGCATCAGTGCTATACAGCTCATCGTAAACCTTCCGTTGGATCAAAGCAAATCGGGCTAGTGCCGAGAAGAAATTGATTTTGGCCGTTCCAATCTCCACCACACCTAAGCCATCTGTTGGGTTCTCACGAGGCAGTAAAGTATTGTAATCACGGGTATCCAGGGCAGCAGGGCGGCCGGTTCGTTGACAGATGTCGGCGTCCAAAATGAACGCTATCCAGAAGACTCTTCTCCGCTCTTCCACCTGGGACATCGGGAGACCAAATGAGTTGGACTTGTGCAACCCAATAGATTGCGACAGACGTACAGCTGCAGCGGCAAACATGAACAGAGGTTGGGGGTTTGGTGTGCCTTGAAAGAAGATTGCAAGTCCAAGAAGCGCCTGAACAGCGAGGAGATCGCAGGTTCGCATGAACAGCTCTGTGACCACATTCATTGCATTTTTGACATGACCCAGACACATTTGCCAGTTATCGCTGCTGGAACCGGAGGTTTCTGCCCTTTGCATGTATGCAAAGGCAAGGACAATATTGAATGCGGCCCACCATGAGGGACTTTCGTTAGGATTCCATGAGAAGTGTCTGCTGACCATTCCCATAAAACTTTCGGGCCCAAAGAGGGGTACGGCCTTGTTGACAGTGTCGAAATATTCATGGACAAGATCTAGGATGACCGCTTTAGATGGCAAGGGTTGGGAGCATCTGCTTTGGAAATCATCTTGAAGAGCTCGAGGATACCAGTCGGCTAGCCTCCATCGACTGCTGTTTCTTTGGGCGACATGGCGCCATACATTATTACCCGTCTTGCTTTCAAGCCAGCCCACACCCTCAGGGGAAACGATCGAAAAATGAGAGGATGCACCTGGGCGTAGTCGGTAGAATTAGCTCAACTGTTCGTGTGACCATTGAGGAACGATAGACGGCGAGCTAATACTCACCAAAAAAGCGCATTGCGCCTCTCGGAGTTTTAAGGGTATATGACCCTTCATCGCCATCGCCTCGATCGGCCTCGGCTTCGAAAGGTGCTTGAGCGGTGTCATTTCTCGGAGATGGCAACTCTGAACCGGATACTTCTGAGGGTTGAACATGCTCTGGGCCTGTGTCCTCGTCACTCCGTAATCGCCGTCTCTTGGAAGCATGTGCTTCATTCAATTCGTCTTGTAGAGACTGAATGCGCTGTTCCAGCTCATGAAAATGTTCATCGCTGTGAGTGAGTGAGTGAGTATGCGTTAATTTAAAAGACCTAACAAGTCAAGTAGAACATACCGATTGTGCTTTTTCTTGCGTCGCACGGTGTCCTCGTACTTGCAGGGCAAGTCGAATGTTCTGCAGGGGACACAGACTGGTCGAGTCCCATCACACTTGACCTTCTTCCGTCTGCATATACTACATGCCTTTGTAGCGTATGCAGGTCAACATCCAATTACAGCCGTTTCCTCAGTGTATGAGGGGCCAAGGGGGCCATATGGGGGGCTAGTCGATACCTTGGCAAGGCGTACAGCATTGCTGGTGTGCTCATCCATTATACAAAATAATTGTATAGTAACACCAGAACTGTTCTTTCAGAATTGCAATCCATACGCGGCTCCAATCACCATGATTAAGAATTGTAGGCTGAGACAACGTGACGGAGATTCCGGCGTTAAGGCGTTAAGGCATATATGCTGAGTCAATATCATTGCCTCAGGCCAACACTATGAACATGTTAGTTACTTGAATCAGATTTGACACTTCCCGTAGGTAGTCAGCTCTGAGTCACGGCCTGTAATCCTCGTATATTGCGTGATTGATACCTCTCGCTACGTATGCTCATCGTAAGATATCCATCGGGGAGGATCAACAGCCTGCCGAAGAGCTGGCCTAGAGCCGTCATCTTGGCATTCTGGAAGATTTACACTTTCGAACTTTCTCAATCGGTCTGCATGGCGAAATAAGGTCTTTGTTGAGTTGCGAATCTAGACCTTCTTCTCCTGACCACATTTTTATGTGATTCTACTTGTAGATCGGGAATAGCAGTCCTGGATAAACTAGTGCTATATAGTAGGTAAGCCAGAGAACTAGAGCAGAAGCCATTATATCACCGTGTTAGATCAGACCAGAGTGATAGTAGCCCCTTACAACTCATCAGACTAATAATAGCATCATATGAACCATTTGAGTCAGTTGGGTGATCATTGTACTCCCTTGACATGTGCTCCGTGTACTTTAATCTTTGTGTATGAGCAATAGTTCGAGCTCGCGAAATATTTCCATAGTTCGAAGGTCTTGACCAAATCTTCTTATTGAATCAGAGACCCTAAAGGTCTATTTGCTTGAAGCCATAGCGATGCAACAGCGGATATTACTCTGCATAATAACCCAATCTAGTCATAGCAAATAGCCGCCAACCGTAATCAAGCCTAAATGCATCGCTTATAGAATGATTGTGGCTAACTGACCACGACTATTGAAATATTGTCGCACGACTCAGCTATGTCTTGGGTATTTGTTTGCGCTACATTTGCTCTACCTCCGGTGAATGGTTGTGGTCCAGACCATTGTCACACTATTGTCTGCATGATTGACTGGGCCTCCCTGACCAAGGTTACTCGCTGCTTAGCAACTATATCCAACAGCAATGTAACCGTAAAACATGAGAGACGCTTATCGGTCAAGCCGAGACATATATCGACTAATAAGGAGAAATAAAGCCGCGACGAGAACCAACTTATTGAATCTATTGGCTGATTTTGGGCTCGTCACGATGCTGCCGTTCGCATTGTTTCAGACACCTCATTGCCATAGAGCAAATATGGTTGCAATAGCACATCATGAATGCAACCTGTGGCTGCACTATATGCTCTCGTCAGGTTGTTTTGTAGGTACGGTGTTTCCAAAGTCGTATGAACTTGTCTGACAAGGCAAAAGATCACTCCAAACATTCGAACTTCAGCATTGGGGAGTTCAAGAAATTCCACATATAAAATCAACAAATCACCCTTTTCAAGCATGCCTCTTCCCGCTGCCACCACCAACAACAACACTCATTAGCTTCATCGCCAATCTCTAGCCACATAATTAACCAATTCAAGCGTACCTCTAAAGCCAACAATGGTTGCCATCGGTATCCGATCTATCCTCTGCATTCTGGGAATTGCTTCCCTTGTTACATCTGCCGCCGTCGAAACCACATCACCCGCTGTCGACACCGTCCAACGATGGCAGCTGACTCAATATTGTGAGTTGACCTAAAGTAAAACTTCACCATCTCAAGCTAGGCTGATATAGAATTAGGCACCGAGTTCTATACCGTCAGTAACGGAGACACCTGCTGGGACATCATTGTGCGGAACCAGAATAGGTTCACCATGAGCCAGCTTCTGTGCTGGAACAACGATATCAACCCGTGGTGCTCGAATCTCATTCCGGGCCGACAGGTCTGTGTTGGAGTCCAGCGTCCTGGGCCAGTCTGCTAAATAGCCAGGTTGATGGCTGTATTGCTGGCACTATAATTCAAAAATGAAATGCCTGACATCGCCGAGGCCTTCGGTCCTTCAGATTGTTCGATGGAAATAATGGGAGCTTCATTTCTGAGTCCCGAGTTTTCTTTGCGTTGTTATTACAAATGGTCATTCATTAAAGCAAAGTGGTCAAGCTTGCTGGTATTGATAAATTTATGCACTATTTCTGTTCCAGGCATTGTGTAGGAATTGTCTCATCGTAATTGGCTTCACCTCTGGGAACCGAGGATTGAGACGATCATCCGGCAATCGAAAGACATTGTTGACTGTGAGTCTGCTCACTAACGCAGTCACCTCCTTGAGTTCGTCCGATGAGCATTCCATTCCCTCTGGCTGCGGAGGGACGGAGACATCACCAGTCTTGATTTGCTCCAGACTATCGTATGTTACCTTGAATTTCTTGCCTGTTTTGGAAGTTATTATTAGATTGTGAGTGTATCCCAAATAAGGGCGTGCGATATTCTTACCGGTGAATTCTTCCGCCATAGCGAGAAGCTGGTTGTAGGTAACTTCATCTCCAACGATCACACTGAACTCAGGCCATTCCTCGAGGTTCAGTACCTTGACCAGGTAAGTGGCCATGTCATACGTATATGTCATACAGATCACGTTGTTCCCATCTCCTGGGATCGCAGCCGTGCCGCTGGATATATCAATACCAAAGGTGAAGGGCTGCAGGTAAGTTTGGACATGTGGCATTCCCCAATAGTCCATAAAGAAACCAGGGATTACCCTGGTATATTGTAAGCCACTAGCCTTGAGACGGTCTGCCGCATCAAGCCAGTATTGAATGCTAGGGTCAATCGGGAGTAATCTTGGTGCGTTGAAATGTCAGCATGGAATGGCATATAGCTGAAGCTGGCGGACCTACTCTTTGGTTTGGACGAATGAGTATTCACTGGGGATGAACCTTTTTGTCGATGCCGCCATCTCTGCAGCTTCGATCAAGTTCAACTGAGACTGACTTGTCTCATCGGAAACAAGACCAATGGCGGATATGATGGTGTGGATGTTGTGTCGCTCAAGCTCATGGGCCATTGATGGAATATCATCGTAGTTGATCTGCACATTTTGTATATTCTGCGAAGCAAATTCCTGTTACGCCTCATAAGGAGGGAGGTCAGTTTTCCCAAGTGGAAAGTGTCTCTCACTATATACGTACACTGCGAGATAAAACGACAACGTCAAATTTAGAGCTGAGCAATTTCTCAACAATAGTTCTGCCCACTCCACCAGTTCCACCAGCCACAGCAATGACCGTCATGGTTAAGATGCGTTTAATCGTCGAAATAGTTGAACCAGTTGAAGTTGCCACGGAAGCGTTCCCCGCGATAACCCCACCAAGCAGGTTTTCGTAGATTCTCACGTATTTGGCCTCTAGAATTTACGATGTCTAACCCAATGTTTATGTACAAACCCCTTGCATATTGCCAAACTCCAATCAAATCCCTAAAACCCTCATATCGGGGATTCGGGATTCAGACATCGGCGACTTCAGGGCTTCCCCCGGGGCCCCGGGCCCGTGACGGATATGACTAATATCGGAGGGAAAAGAATATAAAATCCAAAATGTTCTGACGTTTCCACTTCAGTGATCCTACTTCTAAATCCAATATACAAATTCAATTTCATCATGTGTATGAAGGCTACCTGCTCGACCTGCAGTGAGTTTTCATCTATTTGTCCACAGAACAGCAGCTAATTATTACAGACAAGGTCACTTGGTGGGGTTGTGGAAACCATATTCCTTCGGTGATGGACTCAGTTCCCGAAGCCGATTGGTGTACCTGCATACCTCAGGTTGAGAAGGATGGGAAGAAGTACCCTCCCAAGGCGGCGAAGGCCGGCTGACTACAAGGCTGTGTGATTTGTTAGAGGAAGTGAGTGCCGCATGTTTTCTCTCGAAAACATTGTGAAGGACTTGTTACCAACAAAGCCTGGGTCTTGACAACATTCAAGGGGAGGGAATTTGATAGAATCTTGGAAAGGCGTGTGAGATTTTATATGTCATTTGGAGCAGATATATAATGAAAGTATAATGAAAATCCAAATAAAGTCCAATCCAAATCCAAAACATGCGTGATGGGAAAGCCAAGAGAGTGAGGACAGCAGAGCTCAACTAACAAGAGAACCAGTAATGAGTAAACAGCCGAGTCGATGTATAGATAACGAAACGATCGAGACTAAAGGGCTGCTGTGTTCTTCCCCTTCTTTTTCCCTTTCCTCGCTTTCACTTTCGTCAGTGGCTGCGGTGGCTGCAATGGGGTTGGCTGCACTGCCATTGTTGTCATGGTGTTTGTCTGGGCTAGTACAGAAGGGGATGGTGGTCCACCGTTTGGTGCAGGAGGAGCAGTATTGATATATGGCGGTCCCCTCGGCACAAAGTTGTGCGGGATGGCTGGCAACTGCTTTAGCTCACTCTTGTGATTGCAAACATAGAGATTTCCCTGTCCATCTGGGCAAGTTGCAGTGTAAAGTGCAAACCGCAAGAAAGGCCCCGAAAGAAGCATTCCAGCGTTCGGCCCCGGCATATTTACTAAGACACAGGCCTGTATCCTCATCCAATAGGACAAAGTCTGGCCGGCACCATCATTCAGACGGACGTCAATCTCCACAATCTTGTTACATGCTGTTCCACTTGCGGTTGCCATGATATTATAGCCATGAACTGGAACACGCATACCTAGCGCCTCCAGCTGGGCTATATAGTACTCAGGTATCGCCATAATATCCGCACCAGTATCATGGCATACCAACAGGGTGAGGCTATAGCAGCTAGGATCTTGACTATTAGGACATACCTCCACTGGGTACTATATAGTAAGCAAGATATCAAAGTCAGAAATAATATATAAGTTGACAGATCAGTATAGTTAGACATACCTCAATCGAGTGAACACCGTTCGCCGGCGGAAACGCGTGAAACCCCCCTAGAGTGGCACCGCCTGGAGCTTGAAGCTATATGACATCTCAAGTCAGAACCCATGATAATATTTGTATGTGGTGGTAATAAACTTACACCTTCCACCCACCACGCTCTAGTGGTATCGTACTCCTCAGCCAGTTTCTTGTGATAATCCGTGTCGAACTTCTGGGGCGTATTGAGCTGCACGCCCTTCGACCAGTAGCTGACCCACCCTCTCGACCACCCCAGCTTGCCTTTCCTGTAAGCTTTGGTAATAGCCTTGACATTAGGAAGCTGATCATCCGGGTCCCCATTCGTATTGAGATGCGTCTCGATACTCTTCAAATGATCTAAGCGTCGGATAATGTCCCAGCTGAGTCCGGCCGGTTCAGAATGGATCATTTCATCGCGAGCAGCTCGTCTTTTCTCATACTGTGACAGTCTGAACTTGAAGAAGCTGGGCAAGATTCCATCACTGATCCTCTCCATACATCTCTCAATTTGACCATCGATATCGTTGAAATCAAGATCTAGTTCGTCGGCGTTCCAGCCTTCTGGAACAAGCGCTGGATCGGTAATAGGCACATCGCCATCGTGTTTCCATCGCTGCTGTCTCGGGGGACGTGGATACGTCTCAGCCTGTCCGGCCTGAGCCAACATGCTGTAGTCCACATAGTTCTCTGGCACGACAGGAATTTCACTTTTGGTTTCGTCTGATGAAAACTCAGAGGAAGAGGAAGGAGAAGGGGAACTCTCCTTGGCAGTCGTTTTACCATTGGTGTTCGCTTTGCGCTTCTTTCCAGATTTCTCGGGGTCCACAGGGGGCTCTGAGTACACCCGCTTTGTGCTACTACGAGGAGGCATCTTGAAAAAGGAGGAGATGAAGTTTGTGGCACTGCAAGAGGGGTTTGGGTGTAGGAGAAGCATTGAGATGGGTATAGGTAAGGACATATGTAGTAAACATCCTGGGGAATTGAATTAGATCGAGACAAAGAGTCAAGATGAATTGAAACGCCCTATGCAGTATGGGAAGGTGATCTGTGAGTGCCTGTGTAGATAGAAACAAGCCGATCGATACATTTCCAAAGATGCTATATTTGGATTTTGAAAAGGCTCGTGTGCTTGACAACAAAGAAGCCGAGAGAGTGACCGTGGGATCTGAGGCGTGCAACTCACCAATGGAGATCACTCGAGGCTAAAATGTGTTCTCTTGGAAGTCCAGTCCCTGGTGTTGCTTCAATGTCCTTTGTTTCATCTCGAAGTACCTGTAAGTCCCATCCGAGATGGAAGGCCCGAATCAAAGAAGATGTCAAAGGACTGGACATGGCTGCCAAAGAATACTAAGGCGAATAAGCAAACGTAGAAGTTGACTAGGAGTGTTCTAGTTTGGTATAGCGTAGCCTTTTGAGCTTCTCGCTCGCCAAGTCTAAAATTGTGCAAGACTTGCGTACTCTCTTCGATATATGGCGCTCTAGCTAGCCATTGGAGAAAATGGATCTTTATAAGAGGGGTATCATCAAAACCCCATACAATGGCCTAAAGTGCAATGCTCCAAACTCGACAGAGGCCGACGCTGGGCCAAGACTATTCGGAATTCTAGAGTGTTCATTACTCGCACGGAGTGCTGAATTGATCACTTCTTTGTCCAGGTCCAAAGGACCATTCGAGATGCTAGTGGTGTGAAAGAGCTGGCGATAAAGAAGCTGGAGCCCAGGTTTCATGTCAATCAGAAGCCCATTTGTACGTTCGAACGTATGTAAAACCAATCCCTGAGGAGGTTGCTTCAGTAGGATAATGCTGACGTAGAAGACAAGAAAATGGGCTCCAATATGTGGTTTCTTTCATGTTGGAGCGACTGAGACAATGTGAATGGACTTGGGGGATCTGCCCATGCCCCCGGGTGGCTCGTTTCCAACCTTGGAAAATTCTCGACATGAGGTAAAGGCATCGTTGCCTAAGAGATGAGGCCATTTTTTCAATGCCTCATGAGTGACGTTGGAATTGGGGGTAGATCGCATAAAGTATGTATTGGATACTTCCTACAGTCTACAAATATCTACAAGCACCTCGTACACCAGAAGAACTAATCCATAAGCCGTCAATTTCTAACCAGTATGCACCTTAATTCTTTCTCGATCATTTCCATACGTGAATATCATGTAGATCAATCACAAAAAAAGCGCAGAAACGGGGCAATTTTTCCGACCTAAAAAACAAGGAACGGTCGTACTAACACGAAGGGGATGACAGGAGTAAAAAAGAAACCATGAAGAAGGGGGGGGAAAAATAAAAGAGAAAGAACATGCCATTACATCAGAATCTAAGCCTTGATCGCTGCGCCCAATGCACCACCACCGAACTGCTGGCCACCAGGTCGGCGATCGCCTTGGGGAATGCGGGCACCGCCACGACCACCGCCACGACCGCGACCACCGCGACCGCCACGGGCACCGGGGCCGTGTTCGCGCTGGAAGGCATTGGCCATACCCTGGGTGCGCTGCTCGAGGGTCTTCTCGTTGGACTCGAGGAGGTTGGTGGACTTGTCGGCCAGGGTGACAATCTGGGACTGGAGACGGGAGAGCTCGACGCCCTTGCGGAAGATGATGGCGTCGTTGACCTGGTCGAGAGCAGCGGCGAGCTCTTCGTGAGAGATCATGCGGGAGATAATGGAGACAATCTTCTTGGGCTCGAGTTCGAACATGCTGGCCAGAGAAGAGATGGAGAGGCTGTCGTAGTAGGGGGCGTAGGTGAAGAGGTAGGTGCGCAGACCCTCCTCTTGGGTCTGGCGGGACAGCATGGCCTTGATCAGCTCAGGCTGGGGCATGAGATCCCAGATCTTGATCGCGGCAAATGTAGAGGCGGAAAGCTTCCAGTCACCGGCAGCAAGAGCCTTGGCTCCGGCAATAACACCGTCGCGGGTGTTCTCAGGGGGACCGGTGAAGACCTGGCGCTCATTGTAGTCCAACATGCGGCGGAAGGTCTTGGAGATCATGCGGCGGCGCAGCTCGGGAGTGGAAGAGGTCTGAGCCATCAAAGGCACCTCAAGCAAAGCACTGCTGGTAAGGTAAACACATTCGAGCAACTCGAGGTTGATGTGCATGTGGAAGGGCAGCTGGCGCTGGCGTTCCAGACGCTCCTGCTCGGGGGAGACAGTGGAGTAACGCTGCATGATGATACCCTGGGCAAGAAGCTCCTTTTGGCGACCGCTGCCGCAGATCTCACCGAGGGTGTTCTGGGCCTCATAAATGAGGCCGGCGCGGAAGGCACAGAGACCGATCTGAACAAGGGTGCGGTTGAAGAGGATCTGGGTGCTGACGTCGAAAGTGGAGATGTTTTCAGTCAGATGAGACATGAGCATCAAATCACGAGACTTATAGTATTGGTCGTGCAGAGCAAGGAAGTAAATTTGGCAGAGCATGGCGCGAGCGCGGGGAATGCCATCGCTGTGTTGGAACATGTAATTGCAGATAGAACCCACAAGGCTCTGGATATCCCCAGACTTGTAGGTAGCAGTAACAGCGGACTCAATATTCGTGGGAACGACCTTGTCCTTGGCCTGCTCGACAATGGCAATGACATTAGCGGGCTTGAAGTAAATGTGCTCCAACCGTCTAATAACCAGTCTGTTCATGCTGTCCTGGCCATTCTTATCGGCACCCTTGAGACTTTCAACGTAAAGCTGCGAGCGAACAAGCGAGGAGTAAAGTGCCTGCTCATCCGTCAGGCGCTCAATGTACTCTGAGGTGTGGGGGTCAATCTCGCGGAGACCCTTTGTGAGGCTGTCGTCGAGGTGCTCCACAAGGGATACGACGGAACCGGGAATGAAGAAAACCTCGCCCTCAGCAACAGTAGGTTGCTTCTCGTCGTCCTCCCACTCATCGGCGGCTTCGCTGACAAGGAATTGGCGGTTCTCTTCCAACACGGAAAGGAGAGCTGAGTACTCCTCGTTTGCGGCCTGCCATTGCTCACTTGACATGTAGGTGGCGTTGGATGTGGCGGTGAGATCGAAGCGGGTGGAGATCAGGGTCATGTAGGTGCGGATGCGTTGGTAAGGAGTAGTAGCAACCTCGAGGAGCTTCTGCATGGTGCGGATCTGGTCGGCACGGTCGGTGTTCTTCTTTCCGCGGGACTCAACGATGACACGGAGGTGCTTGAGAATGCTCTCAGGGGTGTACTGGAGGGTCTTGCCGCCAGGTCCCATGGTAATGAATCCATCGTTATCACCACCAGCGGCGGCGGCGGCGGCAGCAAGGTTCTCGATCTTTTCGACCTTGGTGGGCTTGGGGGCAGGAGCAGGGGCAGGCTTCTCCTCGACCTCGTCCGCCATGAAGGCATCCTTATCGGCGCGGTACTTCTCGACCAGGGTGGCGTATTCCTTGTTGTTCTTCTTAATCTTTTGCTTGACCGCGTTGAAGCCCTTGCTGTTGCTGGCGTTCATCTTCTTGTTCGAGGCCTTCAGCTTGGAAGCGGTCTCGTTGGTGAAGTCTTCGAGCTCGGCAACGGCCTGAATGTAGACCTTGGGGGTGGGGCCCGTAACCTTCAACATCTGGCGGTTCAGGTTGTCGAATTCTGTTTGGAAAATATGTCAGTTCATGCCGTTCTTTCGGCCTACAAATTTTGCTGGCTCTGCAGTTTTCCCTGCCAGTATGAGGACTCACCAGTGGCGATGACAGCCCAGTCGTTGATCTTCTGGGCGTTCTCAATCAGGCGGATGGTGCTCTCAACGCCCTCGAGACGCTTGTCCTTAGCGGACTTGACGACCGTAACTTTCTCCTCCTCCTCACTCTCCTCGCTCTCGGAATCATCGTGCAAGAACTTTGAGGCACCGGTGCGGCCCTCATCGCCCTCATCGTCGCTATCGGAGCTAGAGCCGGAGTCGGTGTCATCCTGGTCAGAATCTTCCTCGCTGCCGGAGTCGGAACGGTAGACCTCCTCCTCCTCGTCAGACGAGCTGTCGCTGTCGCTGCCGCTGCCGTAAAAGAAACGCGACGCCATGGTTGCGGATTGCGGTTTCGTTAAAAGGAAATGGCGATCCTAAAGCTGGAAAATCAGGTCGTCGGCGATACAAAGTTGAACTTCCCGCAGTTGAGAGCCACACACGAAATTTAAGCGAGGGGCTGACTAAACCCAATTAGGTATAGCGTACAACAAAGAAACAGTGATGGCCTTTTTTTATACTTCGTTTTTATAGATTCTACTTGCTTTGACTGACTTAATGTGATTGTTTTGACAATTTCTTCACTTCAAAAAAGTACGAATATATCTAAAAAAGAGGTTTAGAAAACTCAAACTACTTTGAAATTGGAAAATTGTCTCTCATCTACTTTACACTGGAACCCAAGGCCTGACCGATCAGGCAGACCATCAGGCAGGAAAACATTGGAAGAAATTTCTAAAGAACGCTGCATTCATCAACCCTTAACTATTGTTTCATGTTCGATTATTAACTCTACTATTTACTGCGTACAGAAATCGAGAAGAGTAGCCTCCTAGAAGGAATGATGATATGCCATGACAATACGACCGAAAACCTTACCTCGCGGAAAAGAAACAACGAAGATAAACCAACATCCCCAAGAAGATCTGAGTTAATTGAAACAGTTACGAGGGAAAACAGAGAATGGATGAGATCGTTCTTTCATGCTCCATCCAGGCTATGCTGAGAGAGAAAAAATTCACAAACAAGGCAGACAGATATGCCGAAGCACTGCCTAAAGAAATTGCAGAACATAATTGGGATCGTAACACAGCAAGAAACGTAATGAAACGAAATGAATAGCGATGATGTGGGGAGGGATATCTCGCGGCGAGGGATTCGGCCACTGATGGGCACAGCTCACGGGGGTAAGCGTGCGGGTCGATCT